TCTACTGCGAGGATCGTGCATCATACGTATCTAATACCGCAGTTCAAAATATATGAACTTCATATATTCATTGTATCTGATTTATCATCACGGGTTTATTACGAATCAACTTAACGGCCTGCTCCCAGTTGGCTTGTTAGCTCAATTGGTAGAGCGCTGCACTAGTATCGCAGAGGTCAGTGGTTCGAATCACGTACAGGCCTGATTTTTTTACAGGTCTGATTTTCGCTATTGCAAAAATAGCGCTATCTACTGGGAAGGATCGTGCATCATACCTAATGTTCACTTTAGAAACAACATTGATGTACTTACAGGTTCATGCATAATTATTATAAAATTTTGTTTGTATTTGTAGGTTCCATGCTTATTCAGTCATAAATGAGTATGAAGATAGCTTTGACAGCTTTACCAAGTCCATTGAAGCTGATAGCACTAAGCAACCTCAAGGGCGTGGCAGGGGTGATGGCATGCCCACCTTGAAGCTTGGTGTGGGAGTCAGAGAAGATGTGATAACTTTATGGGAAGAGCTGGATGAGGCGAGGAACGCATTGGCGGAGATTCAAGCTTTGCTGTGTGAGATTAAAGATGCAAAAGAAACACCAGGTATAAACGCTGTGCGATGATATTACATTCTGTGCTGTATGAATTCGTTTGAAGAGCGGGCATTTTGTCAAATTTTCATGGCGAGTTTCGTTTTCTAAACATCTGCACTGCAGAGTAACTCGTTCTTCCTTTTATGTTGTCCTACAGATTGTACGTCCTAAATTAGTCACAGCTTTGGTTTGCACGCTAACCAAGCACTTTTTTCTCCTTTTGAGTGTTTCATGATATCATATCGACTTATCTTCTTTCGAAAACCACGACACATAAACGCGAGTGTAAACAAAGTTGAGTGGAAATAGGATTTCTCGGTGGAGCTGTTTGCGGCGAAAAGATCGCGAGGAAGTTCCCACCTCGCGGAGATTATGGCGCCTCGACAGTTAAATAACTTTCTCCCGAAAATACCTTTTTTCATAAACCGTGCGCGTTTTATGATTTTCATTTCGCGCATTGCAAAAAAGTTTAGCAAAAGTTGACACGCGAAGGTTTTGATGAACAATATATTTTGTGCTTTAGCTGATGGTTCTCATTTTAACAACAATAAAATGTGTTGTTTCCTGTTTCAGTGTCTACGTCTCTTAGTACTTCCCCGGAGAAGACTCAAGAAATAATTACTGGCTCAGGTCACGCCAAAGCAAAGAGTGAAATGTACATGAGTTCTCGGGACTGGCTAAAGGTATCTTATTGATGTTTTTTTTGATTGATTTTCAGAGGGGGTTCTAGAAAGGGGTTCTCATGTAAAAGTTATGGGGATGATCATTCAAGATTTTGCACACTAATAGATCTTTCGCCTCTATTTTCACAGCGGCATGGTTTGAAGTCCAAAAAACTGTTATTCTATGACTTGCTACAGAGCCTGGCTTTCAAACACTGTGATGGAGTTGTGGACATCCAGACAGCCCCTGTGTCTTTAGACAGCACTGATGCGGTGAGTATGATACATGAAATGTAACTAATGTCGCAGACCTTGCAATAACTGAGCCACGTCGAGATCAAGTAGCCTTTGATTTCAATGGTAATTTGGAAAATGAGTTATGAAGGTACTTCCCTCTCCACTGTAAATACGTCGAGATAAGCGGAACTCCCTATGGATTGCCCTATTTTACATTCGGAGGGAAATTGATGGCCTGCGAGTGTAGATGTATTTTAGTTTTCGTTTCACTCCTTCCGAAAAATTCAGGTGGAGAGAGGCGACAACCGGTATTATAGCAAAGGAGAACAATAGAATTGAACCTGAAAGGTTGAATATGGGTAAATTTTTGAGGGGATGGCCAAGAGGCACACGGAAAAATGCTAAAGAAAAGAAACTTTTTTGATTTTGTAATCAATGTTTCCTGAAACAAACAATATTTCCTTCAGAAGCGAGTAAACGTTCGAAGACCGACATGTACACAACATCGTGCACTGCAGAGTAACTCGGTCTTCCTTTAATGTTGTCCTACAGATTGTTCGTCCTAAATTAGTCAATGCGCGTTACTGCGATAAGTTTGCACATGTACGTTGGAAGGATGGGTCCATAATGCACGTGCACGTTAGCGGACCAATACACAGAAATTATGAACAGAGGATCTTGTCGGCTTTGGATTCATATCGAAAGAGGTGAGTAGTTTTGAGAAGCTGGTGTCAATAAAACAAGTTTCAATTTTGTCCAAAATGATCCTGGATTCTACGTGCAGGTCATGTTCTCTTTTGTACCATGGATTTTAATTTTCCCGCGGGCCGCTTAAAAAAATTTCCTGGATGTGTTGCCTCATTCCGATGATTTGTTTTGCTTTATTTCGCTCTGTGATTGGTCTACAAAACTCGCGTCGCCCTTTCAACCAATCAGATGCGGCACTAGAGCTTAGCATGAGTGGTTATGTGACATCCTGCTCACGTGGACAAGTCCTTACGATGGCTTCTTGGAGGGAACATGGAGTGAAGATAGTTTTGACAGTAGAATTCTGACATTAATTAATCAAAATATCACTTGCTTTGTATGGTAGGATGGAGTGGTTACAACAAGGAAGCAGAGAACTATTTGGCACAATTATCGAAGATCAGGTTTGTTCCGGTGTTCTATCAGAACAACGCAATTTTCAGAGAAAAATTCGGTCTTTGTATGAGTCGTCTTGGTTCTGCCTCACGACGCTCACAGATTGGTAAGAAAACACGCTCCTCCGTTCCAACCCATCAGATGCGGCAAAAATAACACCAGCCTCGATTTGGTCACCCGCGTTTTCCTGCTCTCGAAACCTGTTACCTGAAGTGGGCTTTACCTTACTTTGAGTCCTCAATAGCCTCTTTTATCAGCTACTCTCATTTTGATTGGCTGAAGTGATTTACCCTGGTTATGTTGCTGAATGTTAATTGTTATAATAGGTTGCTGTGCTGATCGACACCTCTGCATCCATGGCCTCAAGATTGTTTCTTGTGAAGGACAAACTTTACAGACTCATGCAGGTTTGTTATCGCAATCATAAAAGATGTGAAATTTATTTTGTTTCGAGCGTCGGCCCTTTTTTTCAGACGCCTATGGGACCAACTTTTGTAACATCAGGTTTAGAAACTCTCTGAGGTAGCCAGTTTACGTTATCAATTCAGTTAATTAAACCAAATTATTTTGTTTGATGTCTTTTAGGAACAGTTACGTCATAAACTGAAGTTCAACCTAGTAAAATATGACACAAGGGTCCAAGCTTGGAGAGATCGATTGGTCGACTGTAACACTCATGTATGTGACAGGAATAATTAACTAAGATTTGAAGTCGGAGAATTTTGTTGTTGTTGAAAACCGCAGTTTTTAAAAGCATGGTTCAAAACTGTGCAGTGCGTTTAGCTTTAACGTAATTGTAATATTTGAAATAATCTTTGTTGTGTAACTGTCTTCCTTATAAGCAGAATATTTTTAAAACTTGTAAAGGAACTTGCTTTGTCATCGCCGTCATTTTCTTTCCTTTCTCTCTTTTTCTCCGGATTTTTTTGTGGTATATCTTTTTTTTTTCTTCTTTTTCTTCGTTGTTAGTCCGGTGGAACATCTCTTCACTGAAATACTTACTCTCGTGTAGATAACATAGTTAGTATTCAGCGGTTTAACTTTCCCTCACAGCGAACAGACTATATTTTTATCGTTTCCTTTTTTAGAACCTGGACAACGCATGGCAGTGGGTAAAAGGCCTCAGCACTGGTGGCTCCACAAACACGCTAGCAGCTCTTAAACTGGCCCTAGCGGATCCACAATGTCACGCAATCTACCTACTCACCGACGGACGCCCAGACCAGGTAAATAGTTCTGTTGGCTCTTACTTTTGGGCATCTCTTATTCCTCAGTTTACGCCTGAGCACTTTTTAAAGTTGAAAGTTAGTGCTCGTAAAGTTGAAAGTCGGGGCTCGCAAAGTGTGTTCCCCTTTCAGAGAAATTTCAAGTTGTTTCGTCAGTGATTGAGAATTTTGTGGGGTTAACTCCACGTTTTGTGATTTGACTAGACACCCTCCACGCCATCCTATCAAAGATACAGTAATAAAAACAAACCGTACAGTTGGGACTCCCGTTTATTTGCGCTTCATGCAGTATATGTTAAACATATACGGCACGCACTGACACGTCAAACACCAATGACAACGAAACACTTATTTTTCTAATATACTCTATCACCTTTGTTTGTATTTAATCTCGAAACTACAACCAACACCCCTACTTGGTAATGGAGTCAAGATGACGTCGAAACGTCGTAATTTTATTCTTCTAATATTTATTATCAAATTCAAGCTGTTTGATTTTTTATAGGTGCGTGCGCGTGTTTTTGTATTTCTGTTTTGTTGTTTTCTGATTCTTTCCTTTGATTACCCCTGTGGTTTCTTTAGTTTTGGTTTTACGACACTCGACAGAAAAATAGTACAACCCTCTCTTGGTATGTCTTGAAGTTTCTCATGGCTGTACCTTTTTACCTTTCAGCCCCCTTCTTCTATCCTTGCCCAAGTACAGCTGCTGAACCCAGTCCCCATTCACGCGATCTCTTTCAACTGTGCGGATACGGAAGCGAATCAGTTTCTCTCTCAGCTAGCTGCAGAAACTGGAGGCAGGTAAGCCGTGTTCTCCTGTGAAAACCCCATTGTCTTTAACATTCAGAACTGCGTCGTGATATTTTGAGTCAGATATGAATTTGTGGCGAATTTTATGTGATAATTCCGTGTTGTTGTTGTTGTTGTTGTTTTTTTTTTTGTCGTCTGGCAGGTTTCACTATTTCTCTGAAGATGGATATGACATAGATGGCCCAAGACCATTTGAGGTAAGTCCTTTACTTTCTTGAAATAACTCCTCCGTTATAATTCTCTGGAGGCATGGGCGCAGTACTGAAGAAACCACCACTTCGGTGGGGGTAAGCTGAGCAGAGAGCTTTCTTTCGTGTGTCCTGGCGGTGAAGTCCTCTATTTCAAGAGTACGCGTTTATTGGGAGAATCGGCTTTTTCACGCATGCTCAATCGAGCGCGTGGGAGAACCGAGCGAATTCTTATTGTACCCAAGTACATAGTTGATTTTCTGAATGAAAGTCACCTTTTCGTGCTTCAAAAAATCATTACTCACCGCTGCACATCTTTCATTGAATACAGGGTGATATGTCTTTCAATTTTAGAGCGAAGACTTAAGACTTCTCAGGGAAGAGATCGAGAAAGGTTTGGGAGATTTGCGCAAAGTCACTTTGATCCGAAATGAATGTGCGCAACTTGACTGGTTTGGTTCTAACACCGGGCGCTGCTCAAAGTAAGTACCTGTACCTTGAACATGTAATGATGCAAAATAAATTCATGTGAAATACCATAACGAAGCAAATTGTCAGGGTCAGAACTGGCTGACCGGTTCGATTTCCATTCAAACTAACTATTCATTTCTGAAGGTAACGTGAACAGTCTGGTCAGGTCTTTCTATCCCTGCTGCAGGTCCATTCGTGTGTCAAATTCCCACAAACAGTTTCTCGGAATAGTTTTGTAAATTAGATTAGTCTTCTTATTCAAGTTCAACTGTTTCGTAGATGGAGCGCGCTAGTGGGGACAGCTGTAGTATTCCAGCAAGTTATTAATCAGGCTGTACGGAAAAGCTCTTTTGGATGCAGCTAAAAACGATGTCCTGAGTCTAGGTCGATGAGAGAGAGTTCTCTTTGGCCATTCAGTTATAAAAAGAAAATAGCGTCCATGAATGCGTCTGTGTCTGAACTGGAACAATTTTCTTTTGGTTATGAGGATGATATCAACAAGGACTATGATTATGAAATACCGATCTTCACTCTTACGCTTCAAAGAAAATCGTCAAGTGATTTCGAAAGGCAAAGGCACATTGTTTGCTTATACTGCGTTTCTGCTCTCGGTTTTGGCTAAATGAATTCCGTTCACCCTTGTAATTCTTAAGTTTTGGTAGCTTTTGAAGATGCTTTTGATATTGTACCCCAACAGAAGCCATCCAAGATCCGTCAGTGCATCCTCCCACAGGCCTATCTCAGCCAGACACGCCATGACACCCTCCCCACCCAGCTCGGAACGCTCTGTCAAGGCCAGAATCCGGCCAGCGGCTGCCAGGCCTCGACCGGCTAGTGCTATACCCCGCCCAGCCAGTGCACGGATAGCGTATAGCAGTCACAAAGACTACCTTGTCAACACTGCATGCCGGAATATTCCGCGGTCTCCTTCCCAATCCTCCGTCAGTCGTAAGGTGGGAGAGACGAAGACCAGTCAGCTGAGAATGGGCCTGAGGAAGAAAACAGCGGAGTCCTGGATGCTAAAGGAGTCAAGAAAGTACCTGGACAGAAAACCTGAAGATTTTAAACAACCCAAACGTAATGATTTCTTTTGCTTTAATAACCTATTACATGTATAAGCGGTTATCATCAGAAATGGTGGTAACCTTAAAATATGAGATTCTATCATTTTCAATTCAGAATGACTATGATTTGTGAGAAATTTCAGACGTTATTTTTCCAAAGTCATTGCATTTTCAGTTGGAATGACTTTGGATTTGTTCTATTGATAAGTTTTTTTTTTTTTTCTGGGGAATTCGAATTGATGCAAATTCATTAAAATTCGCGTGGCAAAAAATCGAGGGAAAAAACTTGGTCTCGAAGTAGCTATTGGTTAGTAAGCAGTTTTTAGTTTATTTCCAGTCAAAGAGTGAGCCGAACAGCTTCAGTGTAAAGGATGACCGTTTGGCTCAATTTCTTTTATAAACGTGTTCATTCTCGTACTTTTAGGGAAGATCAAGAAGAAGAAAAGTGGCTCCAACTCGAACGGCCTTGAAAAGTGAGTACATGATAGCATTGGATCTATTTTTGACGTAGCATCCTGTAACTTTTCCAATGAGCCTGCCTTGGTTTTCACGTCCAGCCTCGCATGCAGTATCTATACGATGCAACTTGTTAGAAACATTTTAGGCAACTTTGAAACAATAGCTTTATCCCGCCTCCCTTAGGAAAAAAATTACACATGAACATTTAGTAACGTTTTTTTGGATACATCAGCTGAGTATGCATCTCTCTTTACACACTGGTTTTTAGTATTCCATTAAAAGTAATCTCCTAGGGTGAGATATTTACCAACTGTAAATATTCCCGCTTTTCGGAGTCGCATCTTCAGAATGGAATGTTTTGTGTCGAAGAGTTTATATGTAGCAGAATTAAAGAACAAATGACTTCGCAGGCTCAGTTTATTTGTTTTACTGAAATATGAAATTTGTTTTATTTTAGGGACGAGGAATTACCAATTAAAAAGTAAGTTGAATGTATCAGCTCTGTCATAAGTAACAGCATCGGAAAGGCTTCAAGTTGCCACAACGAGGTAGCTTGTACTGTTTGGGCGAACTTTTGATATTCTCCAGGGCAAACACGTGTTGGTGGTGGCGAAAATTACTGCCACGTAATGATGGTGGGAGATAAAAGTTTGTTTTCAGAATTATTGCGAAATAAATTTAAATAGGTATTCGGGAAATTTTTTAAACTGGCCGCCACTCAAAAGAGGTTTCATTGTAAATTGAATGAGCACGATGATAAATTGTGGTAGGTTTTTCTTTTGTAGTTCCCTAAGCTTGCACTAGGCGTTTAGATATTGAAGGGGGGGAGTGGGGAGTGGGGGGAGAGGATGGTGAACTGTTCACGACACTAGCGAAGAGCAAAACAAGGAGGATGGCTTGGGACGATTCGCTACCTGAACTAAACCCTCCTCTTCGACGTCACCATAACAGAGGTTTCTTGTTTTTCAGATGGCTTAAGAAACATGGTTTAAAGGCCAGACGGCTGACTATTTTGGACGCTCTCGCGCCCACGCTAATTCCTCACAGTACCAAGTATGTTCCGATACTGGACAAACATGTCCTCTCCAAAGTTTTTGACCAGGTAATGGTATACTAAATCTCTATCGCCTGTGTCTTTTAAGTTCTTCTCTTCTACAGAAAATTTGAAATCTAGCCGAGCTAGTTTGTACAGCTGGCAGCCGCAGTTCGGGAACCGGAGCCCGCGCTCCTCCCCGAACCCACGAAAAAAGACCGGACTCAAGAGAGCGGCGGAAATGGAGCCAATTTTGTACTAAGCTGATCGTAATATCTTTACATTTGTTGGGGTACGCTTTGTTCAAATGTCTCTTATCATCAAGAATATTTGGCTAATTTATCTGTTATAGCCTCTGGGAGTAACAGGATCAAACTTTTGCTTTTGTATTGCGACTCTCTGGTTGAGAGTAGACCTGAAAAACTCTTTTGACAACGAAAGTAACTTTCGTCTCCCCAATATAAGCGGAAGTCATCATTTAAATCAAGGAATGGTGATGACTTCTACTCTGGTTCTCTAAAACGTCAATCACAGTCCAAAAAAACAAACAACAATCCTTGAGTGATCACAATATACGAATCACTGATACGGTCGGGTTCGAACTCAACCCTTCGATGGTGGTTTTTCAATGTCCACAGGCGAGGAATAGAGAAAGATATATTCTGTATCCCTCAGCGAAAAATTCCACCAACTCAACAAGTGAAATGCACGATCACAAATAACCACGACTTTGTAACACGCATTGTTTTCAGGTTCTTCCATTGGCCCACACCTCAGGCAGCAACCGTGATGAAGTGCAGCTAGTCAACCCACAAGGCGTAAATCTCAAAGCGTACGAGACTCGGTTAGAAAAAGCCATCGAAGACTACACCAGGTAAGCAATGTTAAAACCCCGGTAATTTTGGTTTTATCAGCTGAGTTGATAATGTAATTCGGCCACCTTAAAGAGTTCAAAAGCTGACCTTTCGAGCGTTAGCCCTTTGTTTCGCTCTGACGAAGGACTTAAAAAACTCGCAACGTCAGCTTTTAAACTCTTTACGGTGGCCAATTTACATTACTCGTGATAAAACCCAAATGACCTTGTTACTCGTACCGACGCAGCAGCACAGTTTCTTTAGAATCTTGCCCCCTTTATTCAATGTTAAAAACCCGTTGGTCTTTCTATGGGGTGTGTAACTTCTGAGGCCAAGCATAGCTTATCCAAGTTTTTGTAAGCTGCATCCCTTACGAGTGGTCTACGACGGTCTCGTTTGAGCGGATGTTTTCCAGTTGTCAGACTGGGTATCGCCCCTAATCATTCCATGCGATCCGAGAAAGTTGTTCAAGTCAGAATAGTGGATATTCCCGGTGCAATACCTGAAAATGCCGTGCATTTAATACGCATGCTCTATACACGTTTTGTCAAGACCTCGGGCTAAGTATTCCCCTCTTACTTCCCCTGGTTACCAAGACTTGCGAAATGACCGCCAAAACAGCAACTTATTTTGAATAAAAAAAAAACAACAACAACAAGCAGAAAGGGAAGCAAAAAAAATCTGCGGCTTGCAGTTACGCTGTGTTGGGGTTTTATCAAGGTGGGAGTACTTAAAGGTTGGTAGCTTCTGAGGCAGTCCATGTAGCGATCTTTCACTGCATCTCATTTATTTCCTGTTCTAAATTGTTGTTTTCCTTTCCTTTCCTGATGCATTTTTTCTTCAGGCGTCTCGATGAGCTGGTGTTCGTTTTCCTCAGCGACGAAGAAAGAATGAAGTAAGTAGACGCCTCTATTTCTTTACATATTTTATTTATTTACTTTTTTATTTACTCAACTTTAATTATACAGATCTTAACATAAGATAAATTAACAACTAAAACAAAAAATTCACAAGATCTGAATAATTAGGTCAGTTTATACAGAATTCGAAGATTCCTTATAAAAATAAACTGCCTCAATTAAAAGTAAGAAAAATATTACGTATAATATGTTGCATAGTAGCTCAAACAGTTTAATTAACATGACAGTAATCATTAATTAATTATAAAAATCTATCCTTATTTGCATTAAATTTGTTATGATAAAATTTATTAATACTGTTCTTAAATGATGAGAAAGATTCTTTGGAGTAGGAATTGCCACCACCACTCGCTAAAGCAACAATATTTCTTCTTTACTCCGTAGAGAAACCAGTCTAAATTACAATTTTTTTTCCTTCTTCAAATAATCAAACAAGGTATCCCGAAGATAGGATTCCCTCATTTCTAGACAACAAACTTTCCATTTTGGTTGACCTGGAGAAGAATGGCTGGCCGGTAGATCCGGAAGATATCAGTTTACTGGAGAAAGAAATCGAGCAAGCGCAAACATTCCTCCAACAATCCAAACACCTGCGGCAAAAATCTGAACAGGTTAGATATAATTAGAAGGAGTTTCTTTTTTGCTTGAATGGTGTCGAATTCTCACAACTTATTTAAACGAAAATGTAGTTCACATATATGATTTTCATTTATTCACAAACGTTGACTCGTCACTTCACGCCGGGTTTATTACGAACCGATGTAATGACCAGGTCCCAGTTGGCTTGTTAGCTCAGTTGGTAGAGCACGGCACCGGTCATGGGTTCGAACCCCGTACAGGCCTGAATTTTTTTCAGGCCTTATTTTCACCAGAAGATCGCTCTCATACATATATGGTAGCTAGAAAGGAGAATAGGCCATTTTACATGGACTTTCTTCAATCTGATTATCGGTAGTAAAAGTGCATTGATACAAATCAGTGTTTAACAGTGTGTTTCTGTTCCGACAGGCGTCCCGTGAAATAGCAGAACAGCAAAAGAAAGCCCGCGAGGAGGCTGAGGACAAGAGAATCGAGCAAATCATGTCAAAGGTAAGTGAGAATTGCTTTCCGGGGTGAGGTATTGCCGTTTTCTGGTAGCTTTTTTATAAAAGCACCCATGGCAGGATCATGGGTTTTTGGCTACGATCAGAAATACTTACAGCAAGTGTCGAAATATTTTACGATTCCAATCACTAAGCAACGCAATCAAAGTGCAGTGTCCCGGATGTGATCATGTGAGACTGACGTCACGTTGATCGTCAGTGTCAAGATTCTACTATTTGTTCCTGCGTGTATGTTATAGCTAATGTTGTCGATGAAGGTCATTCACATTGGAATTTAACGGCGGTTAAGTTTGTTGTAGTTGTTCACTTTACGTAAAGTTTTCTTGATTGACATTTCTTTTCCACTCTCTTCAACAGCCTCCGAAAATTTCTCCTCTTCCAACCCAGTCTTACTCCAACAAGAACCGCCTTCTTAACCACAAGGTTCTGGCGCGCAGCGAGGTGGATGGATTTTACTACGCAGGCGTGGTTGCCCGTTGTTTAAACCTACGTTATGTCGAGGTTGACTTCCGGGACTTTGACCGGCAAGTGGTGTCGTCCAGATATGTGATCACCATACAAGGAGCTCGACCATGTCCTTCCCTCAAGGTACGAGAACATCAGGAAAAACCTTTCGGGGCCCAGTTGTATAAAGGGCGTATTGCGCTGTCCAGCGGATAGGGAATTACCCAGTAGCTAGCGTTATCCAACCTTCGAACAACCGGGGCCTGTACTCTATCGAGATTTCCTGCGTCGCCTTCGCGCAATGCTTGCTTTAAGAGTTGCTTGACTACCCCAATGGCACCCCCTCGTAACCTGTTGCGTGACCTGCTTTCAGGTGGGTGATTACGTGCTTGTCAAGACGCTTGTTCCACGCGAGGAAGAGGATGACGAGATTAATGATGGTGTGCAGTGCTATGTGCCGGGAATCGTTCAAGTTGTACCTCTCCGGAAAGCTCCAGCTACCAAGTGCTACACGATACTGCGATACAACGGGAAAAAGGTAAATTGGAGTGTTAAGATGGGTCAGAGTTTACTGACTCCAGTAGAGATTAAAGGGAACCTGGTGTAGTTCTCTTTAACCTATAATGACTTCAAACCAATTTTTCTCTGTGATTAAACCGGTCAAAGACATTGTTTTTTTGTCTCTTGTAGATCACCTCTCTGAGGAATGACCTGGTGAAGATCTCTAAAGCGCGCTACACTTTCGCTTGTCGTTTCATCCGGGATGCTTTGCTGACTGCTTATCGATCGTAAGTTAAATTGATCTGTGAGTTGGCTAGAGTTAAGACTCTCCCTTTCCTTAGCCTTAAAACTTACATAAGCTACCGGGGATCCTCTTGCGTTGGCCAGTTAATTGGAGCCAGGAATCAAGTGAGCAATGGTTTTAATCCATTGTTCTGGGCATCCCTGAATTTCGCTACAATACACAGTTTACTATATCGTTGACAGAAAATATAGGGGTCTATTAGTGACAGTACTTCAGCTTTGGGACGCGGTGCTGAATCTTGAAAATACGGTTATATCATTGTATGTATTCAATTTGTATTATTTTCTCCCAGAACGACCCCTTTTGGCATGTATCTGAGAGAGGGCGAAGACGATGCTGCTGTAGAAGAAAAAGGTAGCTAGAAAATTGTGTGTGTTGATTGTGAAAAAAGAAGAGAGACTGAAAACGTTTTCCAAAGATTGTTTTTTGTCTTCTTTTGGTGGGAGGTGACGTGTTCCTCTCCCAGTTTCTCGTTACCCATCCTACTTCGCGCTCCCAAACTGCTCGAGCTGTTAAGACGACTGGAGACGAGTCATGGACTAAGTAAGTAATTACTACAATCACTGATTTGAATTTTTCATCATTGCTTAATCTTGGTCTGTAGACAAAGAGGATGGTGAGGAATCACTTCGCAGTCAGGCAAGTAGCCGCAAAAGCAGTCGCTCTGGTAAGAGCAGCAGGGTCAGCAGTCGCGCCAGCAGTCCTAAGGATGGCAGTAGAAGCCGCAGTCCTAGTATCGGAGGAAGCGCCGGAGGCAGTCCCCCACCCTCCTCCAACGAGGCAACACCCCGCAGGTCGTTCGGGGACAGGAGACCTTTTGAGGAACTGAAACAAGAACTTGAAGAGGAACACAGGAGGCAGCTGGCGGAGGTGGAGAAGAAGATAGAAACTTTGCAGAAGCAGCTAGAAAGGGAGAGAGAGCGGCACGAGGAGGCGGCAGAAGAGTTGAACAAGAAACGACGTGAGCTCGATGACGAGCAACAAAAACTCCTACAGCAGCAGATTGATGAACAGAATGAGAGGTACGGGCAGTTGTAACCAGCGACAGAGCTACCAAGGGTCTTTAAGGTTGCGCGTGACTTCCCCTCGTTGTCGAGAGAAATTGATGATTTATATTATTAAGTAGTAAAACAACTTGATTGGCCGAGCTTTCGTCTCCCGTCTCTCTTTACGTCATTTGTTTCTGAGAAATTCAGAATGACAACCTCGTGTATGCTTTGACTTTCCAGTTACACCGATAGTATTGCTAACTAAAGTATCCTGAGGCAAATCAAAAACATTTTTCATGCCCGTGTCGTGTTTGTTTGATTATTTTTGTTTGTGCTTTTTTTCCCTTTATGTGACTCAACTCCTCCCCCGTCCCGCCCTCCAGAGGTTAGCTTGCCCTTGATAGGCTGAAAGCTGATTTATATGTTCAAAATGCCGTATTTCATATTGAATTTAAACAGACAAAAAGAGATCCAAGAAGAACAAAAGCGACTTCAAAACCAACAGGATGACCTTCTAAAGAAGCAGAAAGACCAACAAGAACAATTACTCATGCAGCAATTCAACCAGACACAGCAACTTCAGCTACAACAACAGCAACTCCTACAACAACTAGCAAACAATCTCCCATCTGAGAATCGCTCCGAGCGACCCCGGGTCAAACTTCCCGACATAGCACCAGTCTCCCCTCCCAGATCTCGCTCCATTTCTCCGCCCAGTCCTTCATCGGCTCACTCATCCCCACGCTCCAGCCCTAGAGAATCAACCAAAGGGTCGCACAAGGCTTCATCCAAAGGCTCGCGCTCACGCAGTTCCGGTAAAAAGTCCACGAAGTCGTCTTCTCCACGTTCACCCGACGCCTCGCCTCGGCCTCAGTCCTCAAGAAGGTCTTCTAGTCACAGTCTGCCTCCAGGAACGGAAGACGACCGCAGTGAAGATAAAGAAGAAAATAAGGACGACGACAAGAAATCAAATAGCAGCGAGAAACGAAAATCTTCTTCCTCTTCGTCATCTTCGTCCTCTTCATCTTCGTCTTCATCCTCGTCACCAGCTGTATCAGATGATGAACAAGAGGCCGAAGTAGCCCATCCCCCTGCTGGTAGTGAATCAGAGCCCCCCTCAGTCCAGTTTCACGTATCCAATGGCAACGAAGCATGTCTGGTGACAAAAGGATCTCACGGACTCTTGATATGTAAGGTTTTATTTGTTTTATTTTGTTTCCTTTTTTAAAACGAAGAAGAGTACAAAATCTTATCTTTGATCGCATATAAGCTTATTTGAGTACCGAATCTCTTATCTCTTATTTGTGTGCCCTTTCGCTAGCTCGCCTTCCTCCAGACGAGGATCCAGCGGTTGAAAGTGGACATGTTCGAAGGCCCGTCCAGGTGGGAGAAGAAGTACTAGCACGCTGGTCTGATGAAGGGTGGTACTACAGAGGTAATACAAGATGAATTCTCATTACTCTGCTAAGCCACTCCGTTCCCTTGCAAGCGTGTATGTTCGTATGTAATTAGTCGTTTTCGCTTACGTTGGTTGCTGTTAAGTGAGAACCTTTCTTGTTATTTATGAACTTGATTAGCCTTTGCTATCCACCAGATTAGCCTTTTCTTTGCTATAGACCACTTTCATAAATGGCTGCCGGATTAATATTCTTTTGTTTAAATTTAAATTAGCCCTACTGGCCTCGTTCTCCAGTACAAAATTCAAAAGAGTACATTATCTCAAGCGAGGCCAGTAGGGCTAATTTAAATTTAAACAAAAAAATATTTGTACGGCAGCCATTTATGAAAGTGGTCTATTTGGATGATCCTAACTCGCTACTTATTTTATTGCTAAATTTTTCTCCTCATTCCTTTGCTGTACTGTGTTTAGTTGCTATGTAAATTTAACCTATATATCTTGTAAAACCAAGCTGAGTTAAATGAATCATCAAATCATATCAACGATACTATAATCGACAGCTGATTTTTGCTTCGATGAAACGCAAATGATTTAATTGCGTCGAAAATGCCTTTTAGGATTTAGAATTAAAATGGAATTTGAAACTCGTATGCGCCAACCAATTGAGCTTAGAGTATTAAAGGGAGGCAGTTGAATCTGGGTAGGTTTGGAAATCATATTGTTTTTTGTTTTATGTTTTTTTTCGCGCATTTTAGTAGATACCAAGAGACTTGAGAAGCTTGCCTTAAGTCTTCTTTGGTCATTGTGCTGGCTCGCCATCATCGTTACTCGAACGACCAAGCATTTTGCACGTCACAGAGCTATTTCAGTGCATTTCAATTATCACTTAATATTTTTGTCTTAACTTACCGATTACCAATGCGACAGGCAACAAGGTAAACAAACGGCACTTGCCACATTTCACTTAGCAAAAAAAATTTATAGACAAACAGACGGGCAGGGAGGCAGGAACACAAACAGACGCAAAAGACGCAGAAAGATTGACAAACGCAGAGGCTTCCGTTGAAGCGAGCAGTTGGCGCTGTATTATTTGGTCGGGTTCGATGATCGCATGATTGTCCTCCTCTCTCGTTAGGCACCATTCGCCAAGACTGTGGAGACGGTAGTTACTATGTCGAAGACAGCGTGGGAGACTTGGAGCAGATTTACCGTCCAGACATTATTACAGAAGCTGATGACGCAGATAATGAAATTGATGTACATGATCCTGTAGTTGCCCTTCATCCTTCGTTCCCTTATAGTTACGCACCAGGTAAGTGCAGCAATAAAGTTGTTCTCAGAGGTGCAGTGTAGATAGCCAGCCTATGGTTCACAATCTGTGGTTGATGGTCCTGCAGTATGGTCTTCGGTCCATGAACCATACTCTGATGGACCTTGACCGCGGTTTTATGGTCAATGGTTTTCATCTCTGTGTGGATAGTCGCTTTGTTACAGTGCTCAGCGTAAGAAAACCTGTTTAAGCTCGTTTGTTCCATCCCCAGGCACTGTTCTGCAAAAGGACGCGCATGGGTTAAGCGTGCGGCATTATGATGGTATAGAGAGCGTTGTCCCACGCGAGGAGACCTACCTTCTGACTGCAGAGAAGTTTGAGAGCGACTGTAGGTACATCCTGCAGTGCGAAGAGAGTTTGGTCGGCCAGGCTGTGGTGGCAAGGAACGACCAAGATGGAATGTTTCACCTGGGTGAGTAATGTCTCCAGAGACCTACATTTTAAACTTTGCGTCATCGGCTGGAAGCAAAAAGTTCTTTAAGTTTGCTTGCCCTCACACGCGTCTGAAACGTCCTTATCATTGGAATAATTCCGAGTCAGGTGAACCTATCAAGACAATATTCTACCTCCTTCCCAAATTTAGCGGTGGACATTCCACGGTTGTTCTTGTTCACTGTTTCCTGATCAAATTGGAATTTGGAAGGTTGGTTTTTGTGGAGGAAGGAAAACCGGGGAACCTGGAGAAAAACTCTCCGAGCAAGGACGATGGATAGAACCCTGGCCACAGTGGAGGGAGGTGATCATCCCCACTCCTTAATAAGCTAATAGGGACCTTACGCAACCACGACGGCGACGGCAACGAGGACGTGGAAAAACAAGAGATCTAATTGGCAGAACAATAGCTCAGCACGTGCATTTTGAAACTTTGTACATTTCTTAGCCGTCCTATGCAAAACAGCAACGTGAAATCGCCAAAATTTGCGTCGTCTGCGAACCGAAACCGCGACGGCAAATTATTTTAATTTCCATCTTGAACTCAACGCTACTTTTATACGTCATGCTGAAGTTGAGCTGTGGCGCCGTATAAGACATTAAGCTCCTGCAACCATTTTTGAGATTCTAACTAAAAGTAGAAATTCATTTTTTAATCGAAGTCTTCCTTGGCGTTACCGTCCTGATTGCGTAAGGTCCCTAATATCTGCCAGAGAGCATGTCTACCTAATTATTTGTGAAATGTGCACTTAGTACATCCTCATTCTTCATTGCACGATTGTTTTTCTTTCAGGGACTGTGCGTGAACGTGTCGGTAATGGCCGCCAGTACATCATCGAGTGGGCAGATCAAACTGTTCAGTTGCAGGTACTGATAATCACAGTTCACAGCTTGAATGACCGAATGTCTAGGAAACTGCGAGTGATAAAATCACGATTGTTATTTTGGGAAGTGGGGAATTATCCAACTCGCACTTCACTATGTCCTTTACTTCCACGTCTTTTGCGAATTACGTCTCACCATTAAACAAAACGCCGCCCGCCCCCTCCAAAAAAAAATTTAACAGATGAGAGATTCTTGTACAAACAGCGTCAAGTTTTCGATTTTTAGGGCAAGGAAAAGATGGAACCTGAAATCAATTTCTCCCGAACCATGGTTCACGATCATCAACGCATTTCTTTTTCTGCATACCTCTAAACGACTTCATTTCCATCTTATTCCTACGGAGATGATTGTGAGTCTCGTTTGTATTTAGAGATATAACCACACACTTTCCCAGGCGATAGGCGCGAGAGCTTGTCTGAGTAGCTTTTAATACATTTTGCTGATCTGAGCAGAAACTGTTCACTGTTTCTGTTCAGCCTGTTGAAAAAATCTTTTGTTTGACACGGGGAGCTTGAATAGGCCAGTTTCCTTGTTATTTTGTTTTGAATGGTGAAGAGATATAGAGAAATAAAGTGAGAATTAATTTGAATCGTTTCATTTATTTGTGACGAGGAATTTATGTCGATTTTCGATTTTCTCTTCAGAGTTCTGGTTACATTTTTGGAGCCCACACTAAACGCCGTCCGCTGACTATAGGCGATCGCGTACTCGCACTCTCAGATCCAGGTGTGTAACTTTAAGTAAAATTATCTTTGCTGAAATTACCTCACGTTAAACTCATCGGCATTGATGAGCTTGGAGGAAGGTGCCATAGCACTATGGCAATCGCGCTGACTGCACACGGCAGGGAGGTTACCATGGCGACACAACCTCGGTCCACGCCCCTGCCACCAGTCACACTGACAAGTCCGTGGAATTGTTTATACTTACCAACAACTGACTCACCATAGAGGAGGGAGGCTGACCAGCGTGCCTCGATTTTAACCTTGCCTAAATTTCACTCGGCCTCATATAAATAAACGTACTTGACAGCAGACAGTCTGGTTAGTTGACGTTCTAGATGAACCTTAGTGATTCCTAGCTGTCGAGAAAACCATTATTATATGACCCGCAGGAACTTTCCAAAATTGATTTGAAATGCTTTCAATTGAAATGTAAATATTTGAAAGAGGGTGGAACTGTAATGAATATAAGGGTTGGATAGAATGAAACAAAGGCTAAGGATGTAATCTCGACATCACTCGCGACGGCGCTACTACGAGCGTAGTTGTACATATTGCCCAAAATGATCATCTTCCATTGTAAGGAATGTAGCCCTGAGCCATGTCTGCTTTGCAGCCTTTTTAGCGTTGCGTGACGCTAAAAAAAAATTGGCTTCGAAGTAGACTACCCCTGATTCGCCGAAAACATTCACTGTTAAAAATCGAAGATAAAATTGTTCCTGGCCAGTCAAGTGGTCTACCTTGTGCTGTGAAAAGGTCGTAATTTCACTTTGTAATTTCGCTCCTTTTCAGCTCTGTTCGTCTACTTGCCTGGTTGGATCGCTGGTGCAAATGGTCGCCGGCTGGTTATTAAGTTTTGCAATGGAAAAAGGTATGCTTCTTGAAATAAAATTTTCACTTTCCCTCGAAAGATTTGAAGTTTACGTATTTGTCTTGGTTAATATCTTACACTTACTTCTCCTTTCTTATTTGAAGTTCAAGTCACGTGGATCCCCAGCAGTGCTTTTGGTTGTCATGTGACTACTATGATCGCATGGTGGAAAACTTTAAGAAAAAGAGCAAAGAAAGCGAGAGATGACGAAATCTTACCGTGTGACGTGTCATTACGCAAGCTTTCATTAGCTTGTTCTTCCCAGTGAACTGATTCAATAACTTTGGGCTAAGCTGTAAACGGTTATTTTATCAATGCTGTTACTTGTACAGTTGGATTTTTACTTTCATTCGCACTCTTTGAATTCGAAAACTTTGATGTACATATGAATAAATCAGTCCAATACATTTGGTCTTTGTAAGAAGCGTCTCTTGAATTAATGAGATAAAGTAATACGTGAAAAGGTTGTGGTAATAGAGCGAGCATTTTTCGTGTAGTTAGGAATACAAATATGAAAAAGTTCGTTGGAAAGCTCCATCCTATTTTCTGTTTTTACCGTTGATAATGCAAGCACTCAGAGTAAACCCTACATTTAGTTTATAAGTACAACATTGAAAGGTGGGAAATGGAATTTGTAAAGGGGATACGTTTTCTAAAGAAACTGGTTCTGCATCCGACATATCTGTGGACATTGCTGTTTAACTTAGGGGCCGACCATTTAACTTTTGAGGGGGGAAGGGGAGGGGATTTTGAAAAAAAATTTCCTGCAAGCGCTTGTTGGAAGAAAAAAATTGCATGCAGCCCAAATGTAACCGAAAAAAAGAGCATTTAGAACGGAAAAAAATTACCCTGCCCAGCAGACTGCTAGAAAAAAATTTCTTGATAACTAGAAATCACCCATTACCCACCCCCCCCCTCAAAAGTTAAATGGTCGGCCCCTTTATAGCACTGCTTGCGTCTTACCTCGTAACTTTCCTGCTATAGCGTCGTTTCCGAAAAGTGATGGCTTCCTCATTATGATCCTTGGATCGCCGCTGAAGGTAACTCTCCCGCAGCGTTCTTTTTTTTTCTTTTTTGTGAGGCGCAATGTAGGAACACAAGACTTGATCGCTCCGAAAAGGTGCCGCTTTGTTGTAGGATGTATTGGTGCTTTCGTGGACTTGAAAAAGAGGCAGAACAATTCTTCACAGCTACTCCAATAAGGGACCAGTATTTATTCATTGCGGGGGCGGGGAAGGGTCGGAGGATTTTGGTTGTATCACAATAAAATTTACGTAAGGCTCTATTGTATTCTATTGATCCCCCTCATTGGCTGTCAATGTTCTCCAGCCCCGCATCCCTAATACTTTATAACGACGGCTGATCCCCCTGTTGTTCGGGGGGGAGGGGAGGGTCGAAGGATTTGGTTGCATCAAAATAAATTACTTGGGGCTCTGTAGTACTCTATTGATCCCCCTAATTGGCTATCAATTTTCTCAACCCCACCCCTCCTTATACTCTGTAACGACGGCTGATTCCCCCCTGTTCCCTCTGTAAACCCTGTGATCCCAAAAAAATCCTCAAATCCCTCCTCTAGGCGATGAATTACTGGTCCCTCGAGTCGTATTCTTTCATTTTAAGCTAGCGTGACTGACTGTGCTTCATGTCGTGACTTCACGATTTGTGTACACGATATCCCGTGAGACCCCTCGTTTCCACTCATGGTTCGTGCGTGCCGCTTATCATAACCTCCGAGTCACAACCTGAAGTAACTTCATTACAAGTTACGGAGTTCTCTGCGCTTTTCAGCTGTTGCTGTACAAAGCAATTTGATCCTGAGGTTAGTAGGTCTGACAGTGGACATATTAGTTCTAAGGGTACGTTCTAATGGGGATCAGTTCGTTCATCCTTCGCCGGAAGGAAAAAACATCCGTTGTTAGAAAGTTAGTCGGATTCGTCTGTTTAGTCAGTAGTCTGAAGGAGAGGCAATGGGTTTGCAGATTGGCTTGTTTAGTCCTAGAGAAACAATTAGATTTAGAATTTTTGACAAAAATTCAGTGGACTGATTCAAAAGTTTACTCCGGATCCCCGATTGTGTCACGGTTTCAAATTTTAGATTGTGGATCGCATCTTCTAATAATGGACTTCGATAGGCCTTCGTCGGTATCAGTGTTAATGTTTTGTCGGCTTCTTCTCTAGCTCCTAAATTCGTAGTTACGTTTTCATACTAAGAGAAAAGTAAAAAGCCTTTCCTAAATTGAACACAATGGCATAGCAATTCAGTTGTAATGCTGTAACGCAACTTAAGGTAAAATCGTAATACTTAGGAAAAGGACAGAACAGATGTCCACACTCATCCGAAGTACTTTCTTTTCACTTAATATTATTGAAATACCCGTGTCTATATATCAAGAGAAAATTATTACTTCCGATCGATGAATTGGGCCGAGAACTAACGCGTATCGTTTTATTTGCATACCGTTTTTGTGTCGTAAACGATCAATTTCAAATTACATATGCATACAACACAAACTGCAATGAACCATAGTCGGCTTATAAGCGCCCACTATGAAACAGTCTAAGAATGTGAAGATATGTACATACTAAAGTTGCGTATTTCCTACAGGCCCGTTTATATATCAGTAGTTGCGCTATTTTCTCTAGCATTGATACAGCTATTCACAGCTATCGAGATAGAAAAACCAAACGCCTCCAAATGGTGAAATGTGAAATGTCACGAAATCACACTACGTGATATTTTCATTACTGCCATCACCCACACGATTAATTATTACACGGCCGTCTGTAGTTACTGCGTTAGAACCATTTATCGTTTATGGAGAATCTTCACGGGTTTGATGTTGTAAACACAAGGTTAAGTGTATGATTTAATCTGTCAGGAATCTTCTGATTTCTTCTAACACAAGAGATTTTCCCGATGATATTCACGTTCAAACGACCCACAGATTCGACTCACTTAACTATTTTAATGTCCCAAAACCAAAACTCGCTCAATCACACGTCGCCTCGCACATGGTTATTTTTTCTTAAATCCTAATCTTACCTCACGTCATTACAGCTAATCAATGGGTAACGAGAACAAAAGGAACAAAGTTCACTTGCACAGCGTGACAGTCACGCAGTCCATTTCTCAACACTCATTTTTCAGAAAAAAAGTTATGACAGACAGCATCAAGCTTCTGATCTGTGGAAGTGGCAATGGAGCCCATGCCTTCGCAGGCATCGCCTCTTCGCATACGGCAACTGAAGTTAGAGTGCTCAGTTTGTATCAAGACGAAGCTGAACGATGGAGCAAAATCATGCAGACCGCTGAGCTGGAGATCACCTGCCATCGCCGCGACCAAGAACCGAGCGTCATTAGGTCCAAGCCGGCTTTGATTACTAAAAACCCAGAGGAAGCTGTGCGTGGTGTTGACATTGTAGCTTTTGTGCTGCCAGCATTTGCTCATCAGGTGTTTCTGGAGGCGCTTAAGCCGTATATCGAGCCTGGTGTGATAATTGTTGGTCTTCCCGGGGCCTCAGGACTAGAATTCCAGGTTCGAGGAATCTTGGGAGAAAAAGCGAATACGTGCACAGTGATGAATTTTGAGTCGCTGCCTTGGGCGTGTCGCTTGGGTGAATTTGGCAAGAAATGTGATGTTCTTGGGACCAAGGATTCAATGGTAGGAGCTATGCAGGTAAGCAGGCCCATTTAATAACATATATAGATATACGATGTATAAATAGGATTTCTCTTCATCGCCGCTACCAAGGCATAAGCGGCTGAAAGTGTGATTTCTCGAGTTCGAATCCCACCAATCTTGCGCGCCATACCTCTCCTTCCCCTATACCATACACCCCCTTTTTTATACTCTGCGTGCGTTCGTTAGAACATTCCAAAAGTACTACTAACAGCTAACTTTCCAATGTGGATGAAAGTCTGCTAAAAAATTCCCAAATAGTTAAAACTTGGCGAACCGAATAACAGAAGTAAGCAAATATTTCAATGGAACTCGAAGCCTATTTGAAATGCCTCTCATCCGAGAATAGATATGTCTATGTAGCTTACATTGTAGGATTTTTCAAGTCGACTGTCAACAGAGCATAAAAAGCTGGCTTGATGCTCTCACTCATACATATTACTCTTAATACTGTCTAATAGTGGAGTGATAAAACACGTGACCTCACGGCTCACTGGAATCCATAACAATTGCTTTTGACGGACCAAAGACTGGTCTTGGCATAGCCGCGTTCAGTTCTTTGTGCTTTGCTAGATTATCTCTCCCAGATATATCTAACAAGAAGTAAAGATACAAAAGCACAAAGCAATTGGGCTTCAAAGGTATTCCCAATAAAGCATGCTCTAAAACTGTTCTTTATTATCATTATTCGTTAGGTCGGAAGAAATGCAACACCAAAGAAAGACCCTCTTACTACCCTACAGAATCTGATCGGTGACCACCCTCGTTTGAAGGTCTCCGGGCACCTTATTGGCATGACTCTTATGACCCCTAACGCGTATGCACATCCGTCAATCATGTTTGCTCAATGGGAAGGGTGGGACGGGAAACCTCTGGACGAAGCGCCCCTGTTTTACACGGGGCTGAGTGAATTAGCAGCAGAAGTCTTGTCGAGTGCCTCCGACGAAGTTTTAAAAGTTAGCAAGGCTGTTAGTGAAAAATCTGGTGTGGACACATCACAGGTAAAGAAAGGGAAGAAGAAGAAGAGGTGTTAGGGTGTTATCATAGGTACACGGGAAAAGCCGGTGTAAGAAGCTACTTGAAGAATTTCTTTACGGCTGATCGTGGAGCATCAAATTTTATGCGCATTTTCTTCCTGCATGATTTTATTTTTCAAACTCATCACTTTCGACCCCTCCATTTTGTTGTTGCTGTTATGATCGGTTTCTGAGTGATAGAAACTATGGTGTATACCCATTGTCTAGTTTTTCAACTACTTACGATCCTCCTAATCTATTAGCCATCATTTAACTAACTTCTGATCAGCCCAGTGTCTTTAATTTCCTCAACCATTGCAAAGAAAAGACGCCTTCAAAGGTAAGACAGTCGTTCTTCTGCAAAAACGGAACATGATATCGCGCGTAAAGCATATTACGTCAGTAACAAGGAGATGAAATAGTTTCTTCTTCGATGAAATATGTATGCCGGTGCATGAAATTCGTGGTTACTAAAAAGCGATTAGCGACGAGAAATCTCTTTTGATGAGTTTGTTTCTTTCTCCGCTTCAGGTAACGAGCATCTATGATCTTCTTGTCAAGTTTTATTCTCACGAAATGTCCGATACTTCGAGCCTCCGATCTTGTTTTTGCACAAACGCCGCTTACCAGGGTCTGAAGCATCCGATGAAAGAACACAACAAACATTCCTTCGTACCAGACTTCTCTCATCGTTATCTGACAGAGGATGTGCCGTATGGACTGGCGGTTATCCGGGGTATCGCAGAAATCGTACAAGTGGACACGCCTACCATAGACAAAATTCTTCTATGGGCTCAAGAGAAAATGGGAAAAGAGTACCTTGTGGTGTCTAAAGTTCAAGGTAAAGATGTTCTTTCTACGCGAGCACCTCAAAGTTATGGACTGACCTCGTTGGACGCTATTTTGGGACGAGCCTAGTTTGTAGCTCTTTAAAGGCGTATTAGGTTCAATGAGCCTGGTTCAATAAATTATAAACTCGTTAACAAAGACGGACAATTGTTGGCGATGATCTTTATGTTCCGCGAAGCTTTCGCAAAGGAAAGTATTGTCTGACAGAGGCTACTGTGAATTTAATTCAGAACGATTTATTTTATCGTGGATAAGGTTTTGAGTCGTAGCAATAGAGTGTCGTAAAACCAAAACCAAAGTAGTCACAACAACGGCCAATCATATCAATTGAACATATGACAAGGAGGCAATAGGAACTAAAAAGTAAATAACATAGGCTTGCTGAGCATGCAAGAGTGCATTTCTTGGGATTAGTGGCATGGGGTGGGATACTTTGTGCAGCCATTGTATTAATTTTAGTTCCAAAAAAGCATTAATTTTCAAAGATTCCAACCAAAATGTCACATTACTTTACTTATTTGGAGAGCAAAATACCTTCCAAATTTATTTGAAATAACCTCTAACACAGGTTTGCAGTGTACTGTCTCTGTTGTTGGAACAGTAACTAGAAAAGTGAATTGTATCAGTGTCACGCTTACCGCCCTTTCATCAATGAATCCAAATTATTCTGTCATTTGCCTCAGTCCGAAATATTTTACCTCATAATTTGACAGTGGAAAGCAAACCCGAACTATTTTATCCCCAATAGATCCTAACAGGAGATATTTTGCGGTACCTGTCCTCCGATGATGCCTCTCCGAATAAATTAAATTTGATTGAACGAAGAGAAAAGGGTCCGTGATATTCTGAATGCTTTCGGTTTGGAGAACAATATAAGCTCAGTGATTGTTTTTTACCCATTTGAACTTTGCCCTCTGCTTGTGGACAGAGTGACACAGTGCTGATTTTTACAGGGAATTGGCATCTGACGGGGTATAGTCTCACGCAGCTAAAAGCGTTCTGGTCGAGGTGAACTTTTCAGTGGGATCGGCAAAATAGGCAACAACCAAGTAAGGAGCCCACGTGCAAGCCTTTGAAGTTTGATACTTTCTTTTCGTTCCATACATTTTCACTTGTTCGAAGAACGGAGACCGAAAAATGTCTTTGGTTAGAGGCTATTGGAGATAATTTGTTTTCACCGCAAAATCATATGGAATAATGTTTTTGAGGTAATGAGCCGTAATTGAACAATTTTGATTAATTTTTTTTTTCTGACGAAGGGACGTCAGAAAGCAAAGTTTTAGCCTGGGGGCAGGCCGTTGTTTGGTCTCGTCACGCAAACGGAGCACAGGCTCAGCTAGTTACAAGGTACAAACATTGCTAAAGGAGTTCAAATGCCTCGTCCTTATAACGATATCAATGTAATCGTTAATTCATTTCCGCTCTGTGTTACGTTACTAATGCCATGGTAACCGAGAGACCATGCTTTCTGCTTTTGCTTTTCAACCCGGATTGTGTGTGTGTTGAATAAACAACACAGTCGTAAACTGTTTCTGCATTCTTGTTCTACATCCGAACAACCTTACAGTCCTGACTTTTGCGCGTTTTCTTGGTTTTTTTTTTCCAGTTTTTTGTTTTGTTTTGGTGTTTTATGCGCCAATGGCCATTCACACATGAATGAAACTATTTAACAAAACAGGATACCCCTCTCAAAATATCATTTCGAATGTATATACGTACTAAGACAGTGATCGTCTGTCAAAATTCAAAGAGCCACGAACGTTAGTTCATTTGGTATCATCCATGCACGCGTCACATGCTTGGTAGCCAAATACACCATGCCCGAGTTCTAGGACTGTCTCTTTCAAAATGAAGCCAAGAGCGAAGGCTTTTTTGTAAAAATAATTTATATTTGCATGAGTGTATTTACCCTCGTTTTAAAAAAGAGGCTTTCTGTAGAAACAGAATGGCCTCGTTTTAAAGAGTGACGGCAGTACCTTGTGATTTATATGCAAAGCAGAAAACTTCCGCTTTTGAGCTAAAGTGTGGTTGTGGTGTATCGCACGACGAGTGTTGCTTTTCTTTACACCCTGCGTTACTGACTTCGACTGATTACAAATCCTGAACTTCCCTTTTTATTGGGAGATTCTGCAGCTCTGGTTGAGTAAAAGTCGGACATACATCATCGCTAGTTGTGAAACCTGGGTAAGCGAATTTGCTTTCATGTT